TTCGCTCGCCGGGCTGCACCGGGAGGGGGAGCGCCCTGCCCCGTCACCGTCCCGGTCTCTTGTCTCACTCTCCGCGGTGGGCGCGCCCCTTCCTCGCCTCCGGTCCCTCTCAGACCCTGCGGACCGGGCTTCCCCTGGGGTTCCGGGTGGGGTGGAGGTGCTGCAGAGTGGGAGCCAGGGATCCCTTTAAAACTGAGTGCAACTTGGTTTGCGAGTTTCCTGGGAGAGGGTCTTCCCGCAGCTTTTGTCCGACACCCGGAAGGTCTGCGGACTCTGAACATTCACGAACCGAGGTTTGGCCGTGGGTGGGAACCGAGGTGGCCTGAGAGCACTGGTGTGCGACGGGTGGGGTGTCAGGCCGAATGGAAGTGGATTCTGGGAGTCCCGTGCTTGCCTTAGGCAAGTGAAACTTGTTAAAAAGTTTTGATTCTTGTTGAAGCACGTGATTCCAACTCTTGAAACCAGTGATTGTCAGTCCCAGAATCAAGGTCCCTCTCCTTCTTGGCAAACTTCTGTCAAGGCCAACTTGGTCACCCTGAAGTGAAATTCATAAATAATATAATAATCTACCTACACATATCATTCAAAGTAGGTATGATGGCTTCATTTAACTGGAAGGGAGAAATAAAAGAACAATATATGACATGCATCGTTATATCATATTTAGCACATATTGGTGTGCTAGAATAGAAGATAGCACATACTAGGTTGCTTGTACTTGTTTTTAATGAATACATTTGGAAAGATGGACACTAGGAGAACAAACACCAAGTGTTGGAATAATTTATGCGTATAAAAAGGAGAAACAACTTAGATTAAACTAGGAATGGCACGCTGAGGTAGACTACAAAGCTCCTCGGTGAACACATAAATAGTATTACCTCTCCATGGATGCTTTACTTTCACTCTGCTGTAGCACATTTTTTTGTGTCACAAACTTGGAGATACAGCTATTTCAAGAGACAGTACCAGGTACCTACTGTTTACCATTGGTGATAATGAATAAAATATTAAAATTGAAATTTTTGATTCAGTACCAATATCTCACTAGTATGAGACATGCTACCTCACACTGTTAGTATATATGCGAATACTACATATGCTCAGTATTATGATCCTGCCTTGTGTGTTAACAGTGTGCGGTGTGAGGAAATGAACATTACTTTTTAGAGAGTTTGCTTTTTTGCTTGTGGGATACACTCCCAGAAGTGGGATTGCTGGTCAGTGGGTTATTACATTTGTAATTTTGATAAGCAGTTTCCTTTTTGAGTATTGTACCATTTTGGACTCCCACAAGTAGTTGTCCATCAGCATCTACAGAGAATTGGTCCCAGGACCCCTTTGTAGACACTTTCGTAGACACCAAAATCCACAGGTGCTTAAGATTTTTATATAAAATGGCATAGTATTTGCACATAATCTATACACATTTTTCCTTACACTTTAAATCTTTCGATTACTACAGTGTAAATGCTATGTAAATAGTTATATGATATTCTTTAGGAAATAATGACAAGGATAAAAACTTATGCATATAAATTACAGACACAATTTTTAGTATATGTGCTGCTGAAGTGAGCTCTAGGCACAGTTTTTTAAAAAATCATTTTCAGCTGGGGGTTGGTTGACCTCAAAGGTTTAGAGAACTGACTCTAACTATGAGGGTACCTGTATCTCCAGAGCCTTCTCAACCAACTGTATTTACCAGCCTTTGTAGATTTGTAATAATCAGAGAAGTGAGAAATGCCAACCTGCTGCACTTTAAATATATATAGCTTTCATTATGAATGAGGCTGAATGTCTTTTCATATATGAAAAGGCCAGTTGTATTTCTTTTTTCTGTGAACTGTTTGTACACTTTACATTTTTCTTTTGGATTACTTTTTTTCTTGTCAACTCTTAGAAATTAATAAATTGGAGGGATTAGTCTTTTGTTACATAAGTTGCATTTTCCCTCAGTTTCATTTGTTTTCATGTATTTTGATATACAGAAGGCTTAATTTTTTTCTTTAAATTTTTACATATAATAAAACAGGGTAATTGATCTCAAGTCACTTCATGATTTTTGGAATGTTTCCATGTTTTTTTCCTCTTTTCCTTTTATATCTGGTTTCTTTCACTTAAATCTGTTTCATTCACTTACATGTGGATATCTAGGGTTTTTTAATAGTACATGTTTGTAGTACAGAATGGTTACATTCATTGTGAGGAGTTGGTACATGTACATATCCATGTTTTAGTACTTTTATGAGTTCACTTTTGCACTGATATCTTTGATTCATTTAGAATTCTGGTGTTCAGAATGTTGTGTAGATTTCCATCTGGTTACTGGTTATTTTTATGCATATGTTTCAGAGCCCATCTTTGAATACTTACATGGTATGTATTGTGAACTTCTGGATGTATTGGGATATACCTCTGTATTTTGTTTTCTATTTCACTAGTTCTAATAGTATTCTAGTGCTACATTATTGGTTTTATAAAATATTTTACTATCTTTTTGAACTAGTTTCTCCTTGTTCCTTCATTTTCTTGATAATTTTTGCTTATTTTTTCCATATGAACTTTAGAACTATTTTTCCAGTGGGAGAAAAACTAAACAAAAAAATCAGGATTATATTAAGCATTTAGGCTTAAAAAATCTATTTCTTTTCTCCAAACCTCACTCTCCTAATCTTTGAAAAGAGCAGTACTGTCTTTTTAAGAAGGTTGGGAAAATTAAAGAGAAAATAAGTGAAACTCATCACTTAGTGTCTTTTCTACCACCATGTGCTGAGGTTGCTATTCCTCTCTTTCCTACTTCTACTCCTTTCACTTTTATTTGTTTTGGGTTTTTTGTTTGTTTGGTACCAGGGATCGAACTTGGATCCTTGTGCTTGCAAGGCAGGCTGCAGAACCACTGAGCTAAATCCCCGGCCCAACTCCTTTGACTTTTAAAAGAGGAGGGAAAATACAGTAAAGAAAACCAATAAAAAGATATTAGAATTGAAGTTAAAACTAAACTTCAGCAGGGTAATCAGTACAGAGGACAAGCTCAGCCTGATATGTAAGGCCCCTTCTTTCTGGTTTGCTACTTTTTCCTTGGCTGTACACTAAGGATGCTACTTAGCATGCTCCAAGGGCCCTTGTTTTCCTGCCATTGTCTTTTTCCCCTAGAGGGTTCTGCATCCTAATTCTGCTGGTTAAGGTAAGTACTGCCCCCAGCCCAGCAAAAACCGGTACCATGTCAGTTACACTAAGTAGCTTGTCTGTCTTGCACCGTGGGCCTCACTAGACTAGAAACTGTGAAGAGAGAACTTATGTCTGTCCTGCATGGTAAAGAATGCCATGTACCCTGAAAAATGACTGACAGTACAAATTCAGATGTTTGCTAAACAAGTGAATGAAGAATTGACTTTGATCTTTTTTGCCTTCTATATGTGGGAAACTCATCTCATCCATTACATTGAACCCTGGAAGAAACGCCTGTGCCCCCCTTCCCCCCATTTCACTAATAGTAATAATAAGCATAATAAATAGCGGGTGGATAGGAGGAGAGACAGACTTTTTTATTATATTAGAAACTATAATAAGAAAAACAATTAACATTTTTTATGTTCCAGGAACTGTTAAAGAGTCTCTGATGTAAATTGATTCATGTAACCCTCAGCAATCCCTAATTGGTATTATTATTACACATGTGGGCAACAGGCCGTCGGAGTTGAGGTGACTTGCCCAGTGTCAGACTGATGGGAAGTGGTTGTCCTGGGATTCAAGTGCAGGTACTCTGGGTTCCATACTCTGCTTTCAGACCTGCTACAGTGCTCTAGGCATGTTTTTTAAGCACAATCTTTGTACAGTCCGGAAAGGTTTTATTACACTTTCTGCTTCCTAACCATCCTATTTTGGGAGTTTCTGTTTTTTGTTGTTGTTGTTGTTGTTGTTTTTTCAGCTTTAATTGAGTTTATTGGTACATTTTAGGGATATAGTAGGGAGTTTCTGTTTTGTTCTTTCTGATTTGTCTTGGACTTTTATGTTATCCAGAAGGCTGTCTCTGAGAATCCTTACTGGCATGTGATAGGTGTTCAATGAAAAGTGATTGCTACTTTTCCCCCCTAGGTTCATAATAAAGGTGCTAACAAAGAGAATGTAAGACGGGAGAAAAACTAAATATTTTTACTGAGGGTAAGTATTTTTGTAATTGAATTTTTTTCGTTTTCTCTAAAAATTCTTTATAGACTGCTTTCTGAAGGTATAAAAGGGAGATTATTTTAAGAGTGTTTGAGTTTATAGAACTTATGTGTTACAAGGTAGACGCCAGGCTCTTTGCTAAGGTCATTTGGCTTTTCTTTTCCTTTTGAATCTCATCTTTAAATTTATATTACTTATTGTTTTAGAGCTTGTACTGACAAGGAGATTCAGCAGGTAGAACCCCATAGGAGTTGAAAAGATTTAAAGCCATTTTAGTAGGATCGTAGTACTTTTTTTTCTTGAATAAAAATGCGTTGGTTTTTATTATAATGAGAAAAATTTCCATCAGTATAGAAAAACATAATGACAAAAATAAGTGTTCAACTCCTGCTATGAAGAAATGGCCACCATTAATATTTTGGTGAACATAATTTTGAGAATTTGTCGATAAATATAAAAAGTGTATTCAAGATTTTAAGTGAATGGTGGTCTTTATACAAAATTACATGATCTTTTTAATGTATGCTTTGCACATTTGTGCTTGTGAATTGGAAAAGATGCATAATTACACATGATAGTTTTATTGGCTGCATATTATTCCATTGTTTAAAGGTATATTTTATTTGATCATTCCTTTGATGACTATTTAGGTTGTTTATTGTCTTTCTTCCTTGTGGATAATGGTGTATTGTTTATTGTGTATTCGTTTATCCTCCTAGAAGTATAAGTGCTGGATCATGCACATTTTAAATGTTGATAAAGAGCCTGTCTGTTTAACTTGAAGATTACCCCCACTCAAAATAAAGTGTTGTCTTTTCCTTCTCATTGCCCACCCTGAATTTTGTTAATCTTTTTAGTGTGTCAATCCAATGTAGAAAAAAATAGTATCTTTTTGAGATAGTGGTTTTTTTATTAAACCTTTTATGTTTTTAAGACCTCTTTCATGTGATATTCTTACTAACATGAAAAATTTGCTTATGGAGAACATATCTGTGATTCTTTGTGTAAATGAGATGCTCTTGGGCTTTAAATACAATGAAAACATTAAAATAGATTGAATTCTTTGGCTTTTAGGTCTTTTACCTTGATTTTTTTTAAATTTTTTTATTGAGTTTATTGGTACATTCTAGATATACAATACAGTTACACTCATTACTGGGATCTTGTACCCTTACATGACAGGTCTTGCTTCTCATTTTTTTCCCCCTTGTCCCTGCCCTCCCTTCACCCTCTCCTCTCCTCCCATTTACAAACACTTTATTTCCATTTTTTCATTTTCTCATATTTTTTTTCTTTTCCCTTATTCACTTTCCCTACACCTTTAGCCCTTTTCTTCCTATTTCACATTGTTAATTATCCCATTAGGATCTTGTGTAGTAGTATAGCTTTTCACACCAGAGAAGCTATTCGGTATGTACACATGTGTGACTTACTTATTTCACTTAAGAGTATATTCTCAATATGTATCCATTTTCCTATGAATGACTCTAATTTCTCATTCTTTATGGCTGAGTAGTATTCTGTTTTATAGTTACCTTGATTAATTCTTTACAAATGTTTAAAAATCGTTGATCAACCCGCTATAATTTTTTTTTTCTGGTACCAGGGATCTAACTCAGGACCTTGTGCTTGTGCAGCAGGCAGCAGAACCACTGAGCTAAATCCATGGCCCACAGCTATAGTTGTTTTGAGTACACAATTTTTCTCTGTGAAGAGCAATGCTTTTGTGTTTTATTTACTCAAGCTTTAAAAAGAAAATTCTTAACACCTTTTAAAAACATGGATACCAATTGCTAAATGACATACAGAATATGGTTTCTGTATTTGGGTAATATATGATATAATTAAGTTATACGAACTTTGTGAATATGCATTCATGTGTAATTATGTGTGTATTTATGTAGAATCTCTTCTGTCCAAAGGATTTTGAGTTTCTGATAAGGAAGTGATCTTTAATTTCGTGTTTGCTTTAGATTTTATTTCATTCAGGTTAGAGTTACACAAGGAAGATTTCGTGTGAAGCAGATACCAGCTTTGTCATTGACTTACTGTTTGTTCTTTGATTTAATAAAAAGCCCATTAAAAGTCACCTTTTCCCACTATGTAAAATGTTCTGTGTTACGGTATAGATTGCCTTTCCCATGCATGCTTTTTTTGCTCGCTCCAGATTAAGGTTGACTGAACACTCTGAAACAGGGACCATGTGGTTCAGCTGGTGTTTCACTTACTAGTTTCCATCCAGCAACTAATATAGTATCTGGCGTGTACATGACAGATGCCGAAATCATTTTTAAAGGATTGAATAGTTGATGTGTATTGTCATTGTAAAGTTAAAATTAAGCTGTGAAAGAGAGGAGCCTTAAATTTTAATTTGGAGAAGAAACAAGTATGTCGTTTTATATGCACCTAGATCTAGACATACATAATTATGTGGTGACACTTGCTACCATAATATTTTGTGAAATTTTGTTTGGAACTTTGATTTAGAATGTAACCCATTTACTGTGTTTTTGCAGCCACATAAACTACCATGTTTTAAATGTACTTTTAATGTTTTTGTTGTTGTTGTTGTTAAGAGCAAAATGAATATCCAGACACTAGGATATAGATTTAAGTTTACAGATCTAACTTATGTTTCATAGTGTACACGTGGGAATTTTTTACATACTCTTCCTCAGTACTTGAAATAATAACAGATTGAGCTATATTTTTATTGTACAGTCTAATTTAGCATTGTTAAAAATAAAAAAGAAAGGTAAGCATGGTGGTACACACCTGTAATCTCAGATACTCAAGAGGCTGAAGTAGGAGGACTGCAAATTTGGGGCCACCCCTGGCAATTTAGCAAGATCCTGTCTCAAATAAAAAGGGGCTGGGGTTGTAGCTCAGTATTTGCCTAGCATGCATGGAGCTCTGGGTTCAATCCCCAGTACTGCAGTGAATGAATGAATTAGATTGCCATCCCTTGAGTAGAATGGATAAATCTTTATCCAGTTTCCTGTCTTTGAAGCTTGTCTGACTCCTAAACCAAATTTTCACAGTCCAAGTAACCAGAGAGATGGAACAATTAATTATCTGGTAGATTTGAGCAATCTTTCAGTCTTTTTGTTTTATATAGGTTATTTCCATTGGAGTATGGGATTCGAAAGAATGCATGTACTATTGTATCTTTTGTTTTTGTTTTGTTTGTGGTGCTAGGATCGAACCCAGGAACTCACACCAACTAGGTGAGCATCTACCACTGAGCTGCATAGCATCACTTCTGTTTTGTTTTGCTTTTTTTGGTACTGGGCATTGAACTTAGGCCCTTGTGCTTACGAGGCAGGCACTGGAACCACTGAGCTAAATCCCCAGCCCCGTGGCATCACTTTCTTAATGAACAGTCCAGAGTTAATTGAGACTGACTTAAAATAACTATAAGGGCCTAAATTAATGAAGTTTTCCTGATATCTTACTGTGACTAATGTCTAATATTGTATTTTTTTCTAAAACACCAACATTCTAGGTCAGTGATGGTGAACCTTTTAGAGACCAAGTACCCAAACTGCAACCCAGAACCCGCTTATTTATTGCAAAGTCCCAACCCTGCAATTAAACCCCAATAGTGAGGTTTTAGTCTAGAAAAAAACAACTTGTACATTAACATCTTATGCAAACAGCTTTTTATTAAAAGATAAAAGTTGGCATTTGGTGTGCTTTCACACAGTTAATGTGATACTTTGCTGTTATGTGCATTCTGATAATTTGTCAGATTTTAGCTGGTGAGACTTTGCTCGCTTGCTGACCAAGAGGGCTCTGTGCCCGCTGTAGCACATGTGCCATAGATTCTGCACCAGGATTCTAGATTCTTAAATGTTTTCGGAGGCAGTACAGATATTTGCTTATACAGTACTTTTCATTTTACTGATGAGTCAGTTTCTGTACTTGTGTACTTTAAAACCTTGACTCTTAAAAATAATGGAAAATGAGGAATTACTCTTAGTATTTAAACAGAAAAGTTCCATCTTCACTCACAGAATTTGTGGCTGTGGACTATTTAGTTGAAACTTCTTTACAGCTGGAGTGAGAGTTTGGAACTACAGTAGGAGGAAAGAAACATTAAATGCTGGAATACAATAGTATAGATAATGGTTCCCAAGCATAGCCAATACTCAGGATCTACTTCTGTAGAATCCGTAACTGATTTGGTCCCTCCTAGAGGTGTTATTAACTCAAACTCCTAAGCATAGAGTTTTGGAAAGGGGAGGGAAGAAGAGCAGTAGCTTTGGCCCACAAGTTCCATGAAGAACTCAGTGCTCAGTGAAATTCCTTAGAAATATCCCTAAGTTCTGAAAGCTTCCTCCTCCCCGGAAATTTTGTTACTCTGGGAGCTTTGTCTAGTGTGGTTTGAAGGAAATTTGTCCGGAGGTAGGCAAGTGGAGTCTGACTATGACTGCAGGGTACGTATACTGTCTTTCAGTAGGCATTTAACACAGGAATATGGCTGAAAGAAATCATTTCCCCCCCATCTTAGTTATGTAATTGAAATTTCGCAGAAGCTTTCCATTCTTTAGTTTATTCAGAGAGGACATATAAATCAAGGTGAAGGTTAAGTGTTTGTGTATGTTAAACCTGGTAAGTTTGTTTTAAACGTATTTCAGTCGATTCTAATGTAGCAAAGTTTTTCAGTCAGAATGTTCTATCTAGCAGCCATCATTCAAACATTAATTACTGTCAGTGGGAAAGGATATCCTCCCACACCTTTTCTGGAGTGCTTGAAACCATCCCACTTCCTTTTTTTCTTTTACCTTAAGAACTGATTGCTGACACTTGGGAATTATAATCAGATTGCATCAATCTTTATGGAAAGGTTACCAATTACTGCACTACAAAATATGCATTTCCCCCTAATAGTGAGTGATTCTTTTGGTGTGTGTCTCTCAGTTCAGTACTTTTTAATACTTTCTAGAAGAATGAATGCTTTGTATCATACCCTGATTTAATACATTTGAAAG